GGATTATTGAGAAGTTACAAGGAACTAAGGTTGTGGGAGCTGGAAAGAAATCATGGACTATAGGGACATGTGCATTTGTGCTTATACAGAGAACAGAGATTTGGTAGTGTGTCTCATGCCAAAGTCCAACAGGGAGAGCAGTGAGAATGAGGTCAGTTGATGTTGGAAGATCGGTATCGCCCTTCCTGCCCATATTATATACAGGAGATTAAATTGGCCATGCCCCTTGGTACCATATTTACTGCATCAGGACATGAAGAGGCACAGGACTTTCCGCCCTCTGGCATTGGATGATGTGTTAATAGAACTGCCTCCTGGGAACGATGTGTGGGAGATCAACCATACCGATTCAACATCTCAGGCACTTCCAGCTACATTTTGGATTGGTCACCTACCTGGCCTGTTCTCAACCTAACTCAATCCATTCCGTCCCTAGCAATTTCTACTGGACTTTGGCGGACTGATAAAAAATATGGCCAACCCTATCTTTGGAAGTTGGCTGCCGCCCTCCTCCCGTTGGAGGGGAAGATTGGCAATGGGTCAGCCACAGGAGGGACAATGAAACAGGTTAATGTTACCGTTTGTGTAAGACCACCAGTGTCGTTGTTAATCGGAGACATTGGGTTGTCATTTTTAAATGAGTCAATGTATAATGTATCCTGTACTAATTGTATTTTAAGTAATTGTGTTGTTTCTCCTGTGTCTAATGGATCTCGGGTTATGGTTTTGAAACATCCTAGTTTTATAATGACACCTGTCAATGTATCTGAGCCCTGGTATTCCAGTCAGGACATACAAGTCCTTGAAGATCTTGAAAGGGCCCTGCAGAGATCTCGGAGGGGAGTAAGTCTGGTGATAGCAGGGATTGCCGCCCTCATTACATTAATAGCCTCTTCTGTGACAGCTGCTGTGGCCTTGGCTGAAACGGTTCAAACTGCACAATTTGTTAATCAATTGTCTAAAAATGTGACATTGGCTTTGGAGACGCAGGAAGATATTGACAGAAGGGTGGAACATAAATTAAATGCCCTATACTCAGTAGTTTTACATTTGAGAGATGAATTGGAAACCTTAAAAATGAAATTTAAGCTACAATGTCATGTGAATTATAATTGGATGTGTGTTGCTCGAAAGGAATTTAATTTTTCACAATATAATTGGGAAAAGGTTCGATTGCATTTGCAGGGTGTGTGGCATCACGAGAACCTGTCCCTGGATTTGTTGCGCTTACATCAGGAGAGAGTTGCCTTGCAGGAAGCAGAACCTCTTCATTTTGATGCCTCAGAATATGCTCAACAATTTTTAAGTCAATTGTTGGATCATTTGCCTTCCCTGATGGGAGTCTCCCATATGTTAATTGGTCTTTTGGTGGTGATAGGAGTTCTTTTGCTAATTTGCTTGTTGCTCCCTTGTCTATTGAAATTCGTCTTGCAGATCTTTTCCCGTGCCTTTGGAGAGATTCATGGCCTTTGGCTTCGTACTTTGCCTCCCCGACTGGTAATTTAATCTGAGAGGCTGGTAGTCAATGACGGGTAAGGAGTGAGTCAGCGAAATTACCGACCTAAGACAGAGGTGGGATAAATTCTGTCCTTTCCTCAATGACGGGTAAGTAATTTCGCAGTGACCCTCCACCTAAGACAGGCACAGTCTTCTTCATGACGGTCATTTTTATAAAAATAGAGGGGGAGATGTGGAGAGCCAACAGCTCTATAAGTATTAAGATGGACAACTTGGATTTCCTATGAAGGGGTTAAGTGAAATATTGTAGAGCTTGCTGCCCAGCTCTGAAGAAGCTGGGCATAGGAGAAAGTGATAAGAACAGCACAAGGATACGGAGCTAGGGAAAAGAAAACACGGGACTGTCTCAAGGCCTGGGGAATCTCCCGATGTGCCTTATGTAAGATGTTTTCTATTCTTGAGTACTATAAAAGAGAATAGTAAAGTCAATAAAGTTGCTCGGTAACTGGGAGCCCTCCCGTCTTCTTTCTTTCAATCCTCACGCCCCGTTTCAGGTTCCTTTCAGTTTGCCTCGGCAGGTCCGCGGCAGATGACCTCAATACCCCACTTTTACAAAGACATCAACTAAACAAAAAATTAACAAAGAAATACCAGAGCTGAACCACACCTTTGAACAAATAGACTTATCCTATTGCAATAGAATATTATAATATCCCATATTGTATACAATATCCTGTATTGTATATTACAACATCCTATCCTATTATAATAGAATATAAAAAGCCAAACTTACCAAAAGAAAGAAAGAACTACATCAGTGCATTTACAAATAAAATAGGAGAAATCAAAACAGACCCCACCAAAATCAAGATCATTAGTAACTACTAAGAAAAATTGTACTCCAACAAATTAGAGTATCTTGGAAACATGGACAAATTCCTAGACACAAATGAATTACCAAACCTGAACCAAGAAAACAAAAATATTGAACAGTGTAATAGGTAATGAAATTGAGGCAGTAATATAAAACCTGCTGAGAAAAGACTAGTCCCTGGTGGATTCACCACTGACCATCAGGAAGGATATAATGTTAATACTCTTTAAACCCTTTAATAAAATCAAAAGAGAAGGAACACTTCCCAACTCATTCGTGTAAGCTACCATTACACGGATTCCAAAACCAGGCAAGGACCCAACTAAAAAAGGAAACTATAGGCCAATCTCTTTAATAAACATAGATGTCCCCAACAAGATACTGGTAAACAGAATGCAACAAAATATCAAAAAGATTATACACTGTGACCAAGTAGGCTTCATCCTGGGGGAGGGTGTACAAGGATGGTTCAACATACACAAATAAATATAAAAACCACGTAAAAACAAGGACAGAACTCACATGATCATTTAATAGATGCAGAAAAAGGTTTTGACAAAATCCAACATCCATCATGAAAAACCTGAAGAAAATAGATGTAGAAAGATCTGACATGACAAACTTATTGCCAACATCATATTAAATGAGAAAAAGCTGAACACTTTCATTCTAAAATCAAGAACAAGATAAAGATGTCTACTATCAGCACTCCTGTTCAATATAATACTCAACACATTAGAGCAATCAGGCAAGAGAAAAAAATAAAAGGGATGTGTGTAACAAAGAAAGAAGTCAGTTATCACTATTTGCAGATGACATAACCCTTTACATAGAAGACCCAAAAATTCCACCAAAAGACTCCTAGAATTAATAACCAAATTCAGTAATG